GAACTGCCCTTACTATGGGAAAAAAAATACAGGGTATCTATTTACATTTAGTTACAAGTGGCTGTAAATCATCAGCTCCAGTGGTGCAGATGGATAAGCACGTGTTGTTGGCTTTTTTATTGGTACAATAAAGCCCTCCCTACACCTACCCTAACCCTACCCGATACTTTATTTTCAACTTTTTGATTATTTCCTTAATTTTTATTGAAAATAAATGCCTTTACGATGTGATACGAGATTTGAAAAGGGAGAAAAAAAAAGTGTTTTAGAATTGTGATATGTTTTGCACTTCTCGGCCACCATACTTTTCTTTTCTTTTTTGTATCTAACTATAGGACATATGGTGTCTCTGAAAAGTCGAGGATATCCTCTTTAAGATACACTAAGATTACAAACAAAATGCCCTTTACAGAGGACAAAATGAATGACAGAGTCTCGGGAAGTTATTCAAGTCAGGCATAACAATACATATGAGTGTGTCTGTTTACTGTATCCTCAGCCTGGCCACTGCACTGAGTCAGTTCTGTTGTTGGATGCCCTCCAGTCTCCTGCTATGGGAAAGGCAAGGTGACTTCTGGAGGCTATGACAGATAGAAAGGGCAGCCAAAGTCCTCATGTTGACCTGGTGGGGGCCCTAGCTTTTCTCTCAGTTCACACATCACACAGTGTTTGAGGACAAAGGGTCTGGAGCCCAGTGGCCATACATGTAATAAGTGCAGGAGTTAAGGATGCACCAGGCAAGCTTGTTAAATGTGAGACAGATAAAATATCATTCTTGCATCCATTTTCCTCACCCTGTTCTTGTATTTTGGCTCGTTTTATACACCGGTCATTCCAATGCAGTACATTTTTATGTGCCCATCAAACATGTCTTAATATATTATATTCTAATATAATTATATATTACCATATTATTTAACCCTCTGGGGTCGAAGCCCGCACCTGTGCGGTCTGTCTCTTATTTTCTTGATGACCGCGAAAAGAACTAAAAATACTCCGTCAATTTTGACCGTACAGACAAGAATAAGGTATCGTTTGAAATTGCAAACGGTCTACTTTTATTTGTGTATAGTCATAATAACAACAAAATAATGTGCTTTTGTAAAATAAAGAAAATAAACAGGGTGCGCTCTCAGTCTTCACTGTCTCCGCGAACTGCTTTTAGAAACGCGACACTAAAAATAACTGAAACTCAGCGAAAACTTTACATACAGACATGAGAAATATATCTACAGAAAGCTTGACATGTCTACTCTTAAATTAAGTAACTCTTACTGAAAACAAATTATTGTTTACACACAGGTTTTGATAACTGGACAGCTAAATAAAAAGAAAAACAAATAGACTAAAAGGGCAATGTGGCTGCAGATCCGAGGTACATACATATTTCTGCAATAAGCACCTAATACTTGCCATAGAGAAACTATGCCTACACAGAGATAAACCCGGTCCATTTGTTAGGCTGGTTGTTTGATGAGAGAGCGACAAAATGCAGGAGTTACAATAAACACCTTAACAGCGGAGGACTCTTATTCTGGTGCACAGAACTGAAGATGACATGATGAACATTTTGCTTGACCAATCAGTGAAAAGGGGCGTTTAATTCCCTCCTACACGTGGAAATCAAACATTCAAACTGTTTATGCATTTTCTACCCCTGAATGTAAAAACGAAAAATTGAGGCGAATCCTTGTCTTTTTTTATGTTTTTGAAAAAACGAAAAATGAAAATGGTGCCGTTTTCTCGTGTTTCTGTTTTCAATATTAAATAAAAAAATGAATGAATGCAACATACACGGACCGTTCAAGTTTCCTGCCACTGTTTTGGATATTTTGGATATTGCACCCATGACGTCTTGACTCTTGTGTTGTTTGTTTCTTTCTAATAAACTGTTTAACTGCACTCGCAAGTGACTCTCAAGTTATTTTGTGTGATAGATAAATATATTCTAAATAAACTACAAAAAAAATATAAATGTCTTTTTTCCTCACATTCTTTCTTGTAGCAAATCCCTCTCAGTCACACACCTGACTTAAAGGCTCATTATGCAGCTCATTATGTGGGTCTTCTCAGGTGTGAATCACACTATTATTCATGATCATTCACGCCTCCTTTCATACAGGCCTCCTATACAAAAAGTGACTTAGAAAATTTAAATGAATTTATTGTTTTCTGTGAATGAGTGAACAGGATAATTTTCACATCATTTTGAAGCAAAAACTCTAGTCTACAAGATCCACTTCTCAAAAGTATTGTGAGCAAATGTTCTGTATGTGTTTTATGGCCTTATTCAAGTAATTAAAAATTTTAGTTTTTCACTAACCACACATAAACATTGCTTTCTCAAAAACACAATCATGTACATACATGATGTTCACATATTATTGTAGCCCAGTTTGTGCTGATTACAGTGTTATCAGCAATTTATATGTTTATAAGCAACTGAAAAAAGCATAAATGTCAGGGCATGTCAAAATTTCTCCAGGGCCCCAAAACACCCTTGGACCCCAGAGAAAACGTCTCAGGTTACTTATGTAACCATGGTTCCCTGACGTCATGGCTGTCGCCGGCCAACGAGTTGGTGTTTTTTCAATGTATGCTTCAGACACGGGTCACGACGAGGCATTCCCCATAGCGAACCCTAGAGGACGCAGTTCGAAGTTCCCATGAAAGGGAACATGACATACATTAACAGACAACTTACATAAAATGCATGTAAATATCAGTTGTGACTCTATTTCTACCAATAATATATCTATGATATTTAAATGCTTAGTTTTATGACCAAAGCTCTGTAGGTTTTATTTTGGGAGGCAAAACATATGAAGAGTCTGGTTCCAAAATGCGATAAACGCCAAAATCAGTATTGTATCTGGTTGGTATTGAAAAGTAATTTTTTTATTTTTTACGCAAAATGCGATATCCGCCGTGTTATTCTGTCATGTGTTCTCCCTATCTTTCCAAACCGCGACAAACACCAGTCTCCCTTCTCTGCAGAATGTGATACACCCGCTCAACCAATCACAGCGCACCATTCCACGCATTGTAAACAGTAACTGACAAGTTATGCAATATCGCGTTCATAATCGCAGATGAATCACCTTCGATTATGAACGCGATATTGCGTAGCTTGTCAGTGATCTACGGCTCTGTGTAGTAAATGCTGCTCCATCTGAAAGCATGTGATGGAGATTTACTACGAATCACAGAACCGGCTTTACTGACGAGATGTGCATGACAATTGCATGCGATTTATCGTGCAGTCCTAAAAAAAATGAATCATTTTGATGGCATTGATGAACCTGTGGTGGTTTCTGCAGTGGAGAATATCTGAATTTTGTTCTTCTGACATTAAGTAATAAGACAGGGTCAGGACATTGCATGCTTGGATACTCTGTATACTGATCAAACCTTATAGCCAATGCAGTGCTGCTATTGGCTGCCTGTTAGTGTTTGGGTCAATAATTAGCTTTTAATGAGTTTTGTGTCCTTGGCTATATAGATTAAATATCGGTTACATCTGTAGTGAAGTGCTTTTTGACCACCTAGGGATTCAATCTCTACCATGTTTTTGAGCATATGGATCTCCTGCTGATCCAATGTTTGTAATATGTGTTGATATGGATCACCTGATCCAACATCATTTCTGTTTCTGCTGTTCTATTTGATTATAATTTATAGGAGATGACAATAAATTTCATTATTTATTATTATGATCTTTGCACTATATTCACAAAAGACCTCAGGGATTTTGCATGTTGGATTAAAACCATTTAAGGATTAAAACTATATATATATATATATATATATATATATAGTTTTAATGT